ATATATATATATAACGCTTATTATTACCCCTTGAATCTTGATCTTAATAGGTACAATATATTTTTCTATTTTTTAATTCTACGGATTAATAAACTTCGAAGATCGATTTGTTTAATCGCGGAAAAAATGTATTTAAAACATGCATAACGATGAAAAAACGTAAAATTTTTATTGCTTCTACGTCCTGTAAGGTAGAAAACAAAAACACAGGTGAAGTGTCACCATCTTCCACCAAAACACAGAAACGCTTGTTTGTGCAGGGCCATTCATACTCGTTTCCCCTTTATCCATGCACAGCCTTCACCACTTCCAAGCTATGGGTTTGATCTTCTCAGGTCACGAAGAAAAATAATTCATTATCTCGTTTAATCTTGAGAATAGTTGTTTTATTTTATTTGTTTCCAAGGTTTTTTAATTTTAAAAAAGCATACTTTATTGCGAAATATAACAATTTAATATAATAAGTTGATTATTTCTATGGCCCGAACACAATATGTTTTCTCCACTCACGAAACTAAAAAATTAAAATTAATAAACCGAGAAAAATAATTAGATGGATTTAATCTTTTGTTGTTGAAATTGATGAGACTTTTTTTTTATAAAAAAATCCATCCATTTTATTATGCTTGTGCTCACGTACCCTAGACAAAAACAAGGGTATCTTCCCATTCCTTGCACGTCCTCTCCTGTAAAGCCCATCAAGCACCTTTTTTATAGAAAATATTTTCATAAAAAACAATTAAATAAAGTGGAATTAAAATTTGAACAGTCATCCTTGTGAGTGAGTGATGCTGACTGCTGAGGCATCTTTGTATTTGATGTTTTGCGTGAGTGCGAGCTTGATATTTCAGTTTAAAACATGTTTTTTAAATTTCTTTTAAAACTGTTTTTAATCTAACAAAAATATAAAATTGTTTTTTTTAATGCTCTTCTATAACATGCTGATATAAAAAAATTATTTTATTTATTTATTAAAAATCACTTTACTATTAAACACATACTTAGAAATAATAATGAATATTTATAAGTTGAATTTCTTGATATGCTATCCATCAAATAAAAAATTTAAATATATATATAAAACTAGATTCGATAGGATTCAAATCAAATTTAATAATACATATACTTTTTTTTTTTAAGTTTTATATTTTTTTTTGTAATACTTTAAAATTATTTTATGTGTTATTATTAAAATACTTTAAAAATAAAATTAACCACATCCCCAGTCTTCTATTCATATTTCATATCATTTGACATCAAGACAACTACCGGAGCCAGTGCTGAACAACAAGAAATTAGCACCGTCCCCACCACGCATCCTTCTCTACGTAAAGTCAACCGTAAGTCTCAAGTGGACCGTGTAAACCACGCTCTATCTTCTCGAGATCTGTTACAAAAAGAAGAGAATACCCACTAATTTTTTGTACAGTAGTAATTTGTGACGTATTTGTAATAATATTAATTAAATTATTCAACTCAAAGTCCTCTCTCTCTCTCACTCTCTCTCACTACCTACTTACTGTCGTCACTCCTTTGTTAGGAAAAGAAAAGAGAGGAGCGAGAGAGGAACCCAGCACTGCAAGTGAACATATTTTTGGAAGCTGCTAATGTGCGCCAGATACCTTTCTTGTGTCAGTCGGTCTCTCTTTTTAAGCTACCCTAGCTTTTCATGACCTGCTTCTGTTGTGGTTTTTTGTTTTTCTTTACTGATTGGCGCATTATAGCCTTACCTCCACTAAAATTACATATCTTTCACTTGGGGACAGGCCCTTTTATTTTTTCTTTCTTATTGTTATTAATTATAATAATAATCTCTTTTCTTTGCTTAATTGCCAATCATTAATCTTCTTTCTCCTGAATAAGCTTTTACCCTCTCAAGATCCTCTTGGTCTCTTGCTTCCCCTTTTTTTTTTTGGTTCTTTCTAATTTTGAAAAGAAAAGGGAAGAGTTTTAAAGGGAGCTAGGCTGGGGTTGCTAGAGGTTTTAGATCTGCGGAAGCTAAGGTTGTTTGAGGCAATGTCTCTTGGTTTCTTGGTTTCCTTTTGACTATCTAAGTAAACCCACTTGCATCTTTCTACTCCTAAATTTTCTTGGGTTTTTTTAGGGTCTTGACTTCTTGGCCCCTCTTCTTCAGAGAAGCTGTAGTGTTTGGGTTCCTTTTGTTTTTGGTGGCAATAAAGTCTCTTCTTGGGTACTCACTCTGCATTTCTTGCTTGAATTCATAGGAAGATAGAGAGAGGGGCTACTCGGTAAGTGGTAAACGTTTGTAGAAATGCTGACCATTGGGAGTCCTACTACCAGTTTGTTTACAAGCACTAGCTGCAATACTTTGCTCAGAGAGCTTCAGGTCTTTTTCTTTAACCCTTCTTTACCTTTCTCTCTCCGTCTTCTTCCTTTTCTATCTGAGTTTTTTCTTGTTTTTGTTCGCAAAATATGGTGTCTGGGAAGAGAAACAAATGGGGGTTTCCTTTTCTTTTCTCGGAAATTTACTTTACAACTTGTAATGATGGGTTTTCGAGAAAGTTTTTAGTGTTTTTTCCTGATAAAAAAGATGGAGCATTCATTGTTTCTTTTACTAGTGTGTATCATAAAGGGTCTATTAGGGCTCAGAATTAGGCCTCTTTTGGGCTCTTTCAAGAAGCAACAGTGATCTGCTCCCTAGAGTTTAGAAATTAGAAGTCCCTTTTCTTAAAAAATCAGAGTACTATGTCATTTGTGCAGACATTTAATTATGTAACTTTTCTCCTACGCTTTAAAATTATTTTTTTGGTAATATTTTTGGTTATTTTTCTACAGATTTTGTTGTCTATTATTCTCATGTTTGATTGGTTCTGTGGGTTGCATTGATGTGTGCGTGTTATTTAGTTTCTTGTATTGATGTTTCCCTAATTCATCTGTTGTGTTTACTGGGTCTTGAAATTAACTGGGCCATACGTAAATGTTGTTGGATTAATGAAACCTCAATTGCTTTTTTTTTTTCATTAATGAAATTTTGATTTTTTTAGAGATGCGCATGCGAGGCCGGGTGACACATGATTACGGGCTATTGATTTTTTTTTTTTGGGTGGGAGTGGAGTATGGGACACTTCTATTCTGTGAGCTTTTACTAGCTGCTTCCATAGAAGAATTGTTCACAGTGAGGTTTTGGGGTTACAGTTAAGTTCTAATGTGTTCATTTAGACATTCAGGAAATCTGCTATAACCCCATTCAACTTCTACGGATTCCACTGAAAGTTGCCATTTACCGAATATACTTATGTAACGAATAATACTTTGTGGGAAGGCGAGTTTGATGCTTTTGGTTGAATTGGATCAAGTAATTGCATTGTAATTTGTTTTTTTTTTTTTTTTTTGGGGGGGGTGTGGATTTTGTGAAAATTGATGCGTTGTTTGTCTGTCTAGCATGTTTTGTTTTTCTTGATGAGAAATAGTAGTTCAGGGTGGGCGAGTTGGTTGCCTGTGTCATGGTCTATAAATTTTTTAACTGGGTTCCTTGAATTTAGTTGCTTGAAGGGAGATTTGTTGTTCTTCTCTGAAGCTTGTCACTTGCCTGTTTCTGTATCACAATAGCAAAAAGAAAAAGAAAACAAAGGAATATTTCTGACAGTCAAGTGGCTTTCTTATTTTTTGTTTTACCATAGAAGAAACTCCACCTTCACATTTCCCCAAAAGAAAAAAAAGAGGTGCAACTTCCATTTCAGTTGATTTACTGGCTTTATTGTTCTCTAAGCAGCAAATATGGACTGACATTGGCGAGAGTGAAGCAGAAAAGGACCGCATGCTACTGGAGTTGGAGAGAGAATGTCTGGAAGTTTACCGGAGAAAGGTCGAGGATGCTGCCAATTCCAAAGCACGACTTCATCAGTCTGTTGCAGCTAAGGAAGCTGAACTTGCAACACTTATGGCTGCTCTTGGAGAGCTTAGCGTTCATTCTCCGGTAAAGATTTCACTAAATTAAGTTTTCATGGTTGTTGTATGTTAATTTTGCTACCCTTCTATTCAATATCAACTTGCACATCACTTGAATTATTGCTCTGCTCAGTATTCAATTGTCTTCGCAATTGATTTACTACAGCTTTGTACACTTATTTATGTTGAACAAGGTGGCTGCATTTGCAAGCTTCTCTTCCCAAGCAGACCTAACTGTGTACTGCTTTGCTGTAATTACTTTCAATGATCCTTCTTAGATAGTTTATAAGGGTTGCAGGGGACCAAAGCTTTACTTAGCCAAAGAGGTTCATCTATATTACTCATCCCATATCCACAGTCATTATTAGTCTATCTGAACCTTAGGTTACCAAGAAGAACTGCAGTAATACCAACTTTTATGTAAAAAGAAATTGCTAACATGACAGAGTATGTACAAATATAAGTTTTTATCATCCATTCAATCTGTTACATTAGTATTGCAGCACCAACCAGTGGATAGAGATGACTTTTTTCCAAAAACAAAAAAGAACATTTCATCACATCATGCATTCATCTCTTCCCAATAATATTTTCTTTTATCTAAAAAAAGAGAAATGTATTTTTCCATCTCTCTATTCCCTCCATTATCATTTGCAATTTTCTAGTTTTTTATCTGAGAAATTTTAGCATAGGAGGTTTATCTTCGCCCTGTAGTTGGCTTACAGGTGTGCTCGTGTCAGTGAACATGTGCTATTTGTCTGCATGTACTGCAAGTTTTGACACTGAAGCAAACTAGGAAGCATCTTAGAAGGTCCTTATGACCATTTTTTGAGAGTGAAATGCATCCTCTGTTGATCACTTGTTCACCTGACTCATTGTGAAAAAAATTTCAGATTCAGACAGATAAGAGGACTAGATCATTGAAGGAAAAACTTGCATCTGTTACACCAGTTGTAGAAGATCTGAGGATGAAGAAAGAAGAACGGATAAAGCAATTTGCAGAGATTAAGGCACAAATTGAAAAAATCAGCAGTGAGATTTCTGAATATAATAATCTCAACAATACTCTGGTGACAAATTTAACTCTAGATGAGCAGGATTTGTCGTTAAGAAAGCTTAGTGAATATCAAACACATCTTCGCAGCCTTCAAAAAGAGAAGGTATGCTAATTGAAGTATGAAATGATTATGAACTTCTAATTGCTTGATAACACTATTATGCCCCATGATTTATGTCTCGTGTCCCGCAGCATATTTACATAATGGAAAAGGTTGTTAATCATCACAACCTTTTGTATGCTTGTGTAGAATCTTGCTGGTGTCTTTGATATCTAGGACACTTGTGAAATGAAATCATTGTAAGATGCCATCACACTTTGATAATTCAAGAACATACTTTGATCTGTTTTTGCAGTCTGACCGCCTTCAAAAGGTCTTTGAATATGTGAATGAGGTGCATTCTCTATGTGGTGTGCTTGGGTTAGATTTTGGCAAGACGGTAAGTGGAGTACATCCAAGCTTGCATGGAACCCAACAGGAACAATCCACAAATATAAGCAACAGCACGCTGGAAGGTCTAGAACAGGCCATTCGCATGTTGAAATTGGAAAGAAAAGCTCGAATGCAAAAGGTAATGCACATACATCCATTTTTCAGTATCTAATCTTCTTATACTGGACTAAGTGAAGAACTGTTCGAAAGTGCAGCTGAAAGATGTTGCGGCATCGTTATTTGAACTTTGGAATTTGATGGACTCTCCCACAGAAGAGAAAAACAAGTTTTCTAGAATTACTTCTGTTCTTGGATTTGCTGAATCTGAAATCATAGAACCAGGTGTTCTATCAGCAGAGATAATTCAACAGGTTTGACATTTTCTTAATTTGTTATTTATTCTCAATGAGAAAGTAGATCCTTGAATTTACTTGTTCTTTTGGCAGGCTTCAACAGAAGTGGAGAGGCTCACTAAGTTAAAAGCAAGCAGAATGAAAGAACTAGTAATGAAAAGGAGATCAGATTTGGAGGATGTATGCAAAATGACTCATATAGAACCTGATACAAGTACTAATCCTGAGAAATCCACTGCATTGATAGATTCTGGTACATTTGTTCTTGTTTTCTCAGGTTATTTTTATTGGTCAATTATTTATTTAACATGTGGCAAAGAATGTTGATTATTAAACCTTGCTGTTTTTGTACAGGTTTGGTGGATCCTTCTGAACTTTTGGCAAACATCGAAGCCCAGATAGTCAGAGCTAAAGAGGAAGCCTTGAGCCGAAAAGAAATTATGGATAGGATAGATCGATGGCTTTCTGCATGTGAAGAGGAAAATTGGCTTGAAGACTATAATCAAGTATGCAAGGATTTTTCCTTTTCACTTCCTGTATTCATTTGTTAATTGTGCATATTTTGGTTTTCATGTTTGTTGTCCTCTAGCTGTCTTGCTTGGCAGCATGGCTTCGGAACAGATAGTGGTCCCCTTACTATCCTTGTAGCTATAATTTTCTTGAATAACGATGCATAGTAGCTGTCAGTTTGATTCAAATTAATGAACCATGAGTAAATCTATAGGCATTAAGAGATCTATTTTTAAATTTCAGGACACTAACAGGTACAATGCTGGAAGAGGTGCACATCTCAACCTTAAACGTGCAGAACGAGCTCGAGTGACCATAAGCAAAATTTCAGGTGCTGGTTTCTTTGATTATGCTTATGCAACTGCTTGTCTGAATCTGTAGCTATTTCTTTGATTATGCAACTGCTTGTCTGAATCTGTAGCTTTTCTGAGCCAATGTACTCTTTGCAGCAATGGTTGACAATCTGATACTCAAAACCCTAGCTTGGGAGGATGAAAAGAAGATGTTATTTCTGTATGACGGGGTGGGTATTTTATTCAGAGTGCCTCTCTCTCTCTCTCTCTATTCATACACGTGCATGCGTGCGCATTCAGTGGCTTTTTTCTCACATAAAATTGTCCTTTTGTTCTCTGCAGGTTAGATTGGTCTCTATACTGGAGGATTACAAACTGACCAGACAACAGAGAGAAGAGGAGAAAAGGAGATATAGGGTAATTAATCTGTGACATGTTGATAAATAAATGGCGTTGTGTAATTCCATGGTGCTTCACACACTAAATGATTTCATAAATGGAAGACATGACGAGCGGTTTTTTCTTGCTATTTTGACCTGTACCCTGTCTCCTGTTATCTAGAAAAGATTAACCATTTAGATTGACCCTAAAATATGTTCTCATCAAATCGCTATTTTCTGAAATCATCCAGCAGTGAATTTGTTGACAGTTGATTGTCTAATTTCACAGGACCAAAAGAAGCTCCAAGATCTACTGCAAACAGAGAAGGAAGCCATGTATGGGTCTAAACCCAGTCCACGGAAAACTAACAGTTTTAGGAAACCAAATGGTTATCGTGCAAATGGAAATGGTTCTATGACTCCCACACCTCGTAGGAACTCATTTGGAGGTGCAACTCCTGAACTTCTCACTCCTCGATCCTATTCTGGACGTCAAAATGGCTATTTCAAGGAAATGAGAAGGCTGTCTACTGCACCGTTGAACTTTGTTGCCATATCAAAAGAGGAAACGATGTCATTTGCATCTGTTTGTGGTTCTGAGCCTGGCTCTCCTCCGCAGGGTTAAGTGATTTGGAATGGTATGCTTTGCTTTCTCTTTAGCCTTGCCCTCTGCCTTTTTTTTTGGTTTTTACTCTTGTGCTATTATCCTCTGTGTCAACCTGATATGGATTATAGACAATTGATGGAAAAGAAAAGGTACATTAGCATGATTTTTATAAAAATGATGAACGCTGGCTCATCTGTTGTGCAAGGCAAAAAGGGAACTTTTAGTCTTGCTGTGTCCAAATTACAATGTTTTTTCTTGACTGAAAATTCCATTTGCTAGTTGAGTTTCCTCTTCACCTTAGTTGATCACACCATTAATTCTATGATAGTTGTCATGCAGGAACATGTGACCTTGTAGAAGTTTGATGATCGAAAACTTCAATTATAGCTGTGGAACTTTGTGAATATGAAACAGATGTACACTAGTGTATGATTGTGATCATTGTTAGGGGTTCTTGGAGAGTGGTTACTGATGTTGAGGAGTCCACTGGTATGCTATTTTCTCTGAAGAATATCAGCTTGTGGAAGGGGTGACCAACACTGGTAGATACTAGTTTGGAAACATCAGCTCTCGTTCAACAATACAGGCATTATGTTAGTTTCGTGATAGTACTGACCATGTTTTGTGGGTTTTGCTTGTGCTTTGCGAATGTGTATATTATGGATTCCAGTGTGATTGTCTATCATTTGATGTTTAGGAACCTTGGTATATTTGGAGAATGCATATTTTAGAAACTGTGGTGCGATAGGTTGACAAGGAATAAATGTTTTGACTTCGTTGAAGTTTGTCTTTCTTTTGTGGAGTTCGTTCAGTTGGCTGTTCTTCACAATACTTTATGTACTTTTAACCTCTGCCTCTCTGCAGCTTGTTGCTTTAGTCGTTGTAAATTGTGTGACACAAGCTTATAGGGTCACACTGTCATCGGGATGAAAAAGCTTGCATAGGATCCGTTCTCATAGTTCGAACTCTGAAGTTGATGAAGGTGTTAGTTGTACCAAGAAGATGGTCTGGCATTTCCTATTGCAAATGCCTAGCGTGTTTTGCGTCTGTTTCATCCTCCATGAGCGTTATCTACTGTGCCGTTTCTTTTGCTGCTATGAACTAGAGGGTGACAATGATTTGTCACTGAGTGTTTAATCATGCACATAATCTGCGAGTGACACGGGCAGAGTATGATATCGGAATGTCTCCGATCTTGGTAGCTGAATGCATGCCAGTGAAAAATGCTCTGCAAGAGGACAAGTGGGACAATGCTGTTAGTAATAAACATGGACAAGCTCCAAGTACACAATGGAACGCCACATACGAATCAGTGCCGATACGAAAATTTTCTGATTAGCAAGGACAAAATAAAGCTGTAAATGTAAATGGGGCCACCGTCTTCGGTAGGGATGGCGATGGAGCAGTACGGGTCCTCTTTCTAATTTTTTTATTTTTTTTATGCATCCGCGCGTGACCTAGTAAGGTTTTAACCATCACTTGCATCCAATCTGCACGCGGTCCAATTGGATGAAAAACATTTTCCATCCGCCAGGTGTCCCCTGAATATCCAAAATGACCTGGGAGTTTTTTTTAATTTAAAAATTTATTAAGTTTTTAAAAAATTACAGCTTGGGTCAATATAAATTCTCAAATTGGATAAAAAAAAGAAACCAAACTATTCTTATTTTAAGATATAAAAATACCAAACTACCCTAGGTAAACTCTACAGAAGGCATAAGAGATTCTCTCTTTCAAACATAATGTCTCTTTTTAAACAAATCTAGTATTTTTAATTGATTGGAGTTGTTAGAATCTCTCTTTTCTTCTTGAAAAGCAATTAGTTATGTTATTTTAAAAACCTGAAAAAACCTCAAATTAAAATCAGGAAGAATCCTATTTTTTTAATCTTCGCCAATTCATTGGTGAAAGAAAATCGATTCCTCAAATTAAAACTCAGGAAGAATCCTATTTTTTTAATCTTTGCCAATTCATTGGTGAAAGAAAATCGATTCCAAGCAAAACTCATAAATACTAATTTTATGAGGAAATTCAAGTATTTTTAGGGAGATTCTCTCAATTATCCATTTGATTCTTCAGAAATCTAGTACTTTCAGATAAATTCATAAAGTCTTGCAATACTTGATCAAGATCAAAGCATCATCACCGATCTGATAACAATAATGATGATTACGATAGAGATGATGCTTAAGCTTCCAAGGAGAACGCCAAGGGAGAGGAGAAGAAAGTGAAGTCGAGGAAGCCTAGGAAACCTAAGGTGATGGTAGCTGAAGCCGCCGCTAAAATTGATGCCGCCGATCTTGCTTTCCTTCTCTCTAACATATCGGTAGGTGCATGACCGTAACTTGGAATGATCTAGTTTATTTTGAGGAAAAGGTAATTTCAATTTTCTATTTTTGTAGGGGGCAAACGAGGTTCAGCAGGATTTTGAGCTCCCGAGAAAGTTTTCTGGATGTCAGGAATATATGGCCCAATAAAATTTTGAGAAGATAGTTGTACCCTGCTGCTTTTACATCAACGAGAGATTCAATAAACACAATATGGGGATTCTACATCGCCATAGATGGATTCATCATAAAGGAAGGAAGAAGCAGAACGGTAACGGGTTTTCGAAAGCCTAGAACTATCTCGCTAATTATGTATTAAGAGAAAACATCTCACACGCGCCCTAATGAGCTTGGATTTAGTCAGATATTAGTTGTGAGTTGTGATTTTGTCATCCCTAGTCATTCAGATCTCCATGAAAAAACACTTCCATGGTATTTGATTAATTATTAAGTATAGAAATAAAATGATTGTAAATAAGTTGTTTTGACAACTAAAAATTTTGAAAGAAAATTTATAATGATAAAGAACAGATTAACAATTTCCTTTTTCCAACCATGTTATTTCACTAAAATTTTCTATTAGTATAGATTAAGGAAAAAAATAAATAGAAATTAACCACCAAGAAAATCTCTCAATAAGTCATAGCTACTGTAGAAATATAGAAAGTAAGAACAATAAAATGATTCACAGACCAAATAGAAAGTAAGAAGAATAATTTTTTTATACATTCATGCAATCAAATAAATGTGAATTATGGATGTAAATAAATAAATAAATAATCATTAACAATATTTAAAGAAAATTAAAAAAACAAGAAATAAATTGAGATCAAAATATTTAATCTTGAAAGATGGATATTTATTTAGTTGTGTTTATTAAATTTATTTATTAAAATATTTTTTATTTAAACAAATGATTATAGAAATAGAGACACAAATTAAATTAATTGAATAAAAAAAAATAATGCAAGGCATTATCCAAAAATATTTCTTTTTTCAAAAATAAAGTTTCTCCATACAAAGAATAAAAAAAATTATAGATAAATTCAAAAAATACTTCAAATTTCAATACATAATTAAAAAAACAATTGCTATTTAAAAGAAACTTTCCAACAAAATAAAAGAGATAAAGGATATTAATTCAAATATAAATTATAAAAATTTAGAGAAAAAATCTAAAAACATCATTAATTTATTTATTTTTTTTAAATAAAGATTAGACGATACTGGCTCTGGCCTATTTTTTCAGGGGCGACGCGTGGCCCTATCCTAGGAGGCCCACACGATTGGATCCTTAATTTTTTTTGTTTGCAAATGGGGTCTTTTGTCCTGATTTTTTTTATAAAAAAAATAGATTAAAATCAGGACTTAAGTTTTTTAATTCAAAACTTCATTTTCAACCCATTTTTGACTAATAACACCTATAAAATACCTTGGAGCAGGAATAAACCTATATATCATCTCAACATATATAAAATAACTCAAATAAACCCGAATTCAAAAATCAACATGAGTTTAAATATGTTTTTTTTACGAGCTTTAAAGATAAAAAAAAATACTTAATATAAACTCCTTTGTTCAAATTGAACTATTTGATACAAATATGATCTGTTCTAGTAGCCTAAATTGATGTCAACGATGCTTTTCTCTTTTTACTACTACAGTTTGATGACTTCTCTCCCTTATTTTTTAGTTAGATACTAAAAAATAATAATAAAAATTATATTAAAATTAAATATAAAAAATATTGAGGCACTATAATTGTATAATTTTGGGTGATTTTTAAAGTTTAAAAACTAAAATGCATTTTTTATGAAACTTATAACACATCATTCATATTTAAGGCATTTTTTTTTATTTATGTTCTTGTTATTTTAATCTTATATTTTCATAAAAAAATAAAATTAATTAATTATCAATTAAAACTATATTACCAAAAATCCATTAATTACTAAATTAAAAAAACATAAAATTTTGCTTGAAAAGGAGAGCATAGTGAAAATCTATATGAGTAATATCGTTTGGTATTGTGATTGCAAGTGAAGTTCACTTGCAACTACAAATATTGTTATTTAATAATACTTCAAAAGTAGTTTTTTACTAATAAGGCCAGTATCAATTGTGGATACGCTACAGATTTTCAAGAAATAACTCTTTGTTGTTTCTTGTGCTGAGAAAATCCATGAACAGTGAGTACAACTCTAGTGTTCATGGGTTTTCTTCAATGAACAGTGGAGTTAGAGCATGGCTTCACTATTCCGGTTGGAGTAGTCTAGTTCAAAGTTAAAAATATATTAAACCAGATCTGATCCAATAAAATAAATAAATAATTTTTTATTTTTAATTGTATTTTATTTAAAAAAATAGTGTTAAACATTATTCAATAACATTATATAAATTAGACGGAGATCGCTTGATGATATAATATATATAGAATTTCATCTTAATCCCAATTTTATTTTTGATTATATTTTACTTGATATTGTTGCGCTCTTAAAAAATTTATAAAAATTACAGTCCTTGTCATATAAAAGTATTTACGTGATGAAATTGTATATAATTTAATAAAATAATAAAAAATATTCATGTAAAGTATTATTTATTTCATAATTAATAATAATAGTTAAATTTACAATATTTAAATTAAAAATTATCAATATTAACATATATTTTTTAAAATTATTTTACAACCTCAATTTAAAAAATATTTTTAACTAATGATTATAGAAATAGATACACAAAATATTTCTTTTTTCAAAAATAAAGTTTCTTCATACAAAAAATAAAAAAAATTATAGATAAATTCAAAAAAAACTTCGAATTTCAATACATAATTAAAAAAAACAATTGTTATTTAAAAGAAACTTTCCAACAAAATAAAAAAAGACAAGGGATATTAATTCAAATATAAATTATAAAACTTTAGAGAAAAAATCTAAAAAAATCATTAATTTATTTAAAAAAAAAACAAAGATTAGACGATACTGGGTCTAGCCTATTTTTTCAGGGGTGACACGTGGCCCTGTCCTAGAAGGCCCACACGATTGGATCCTTAATGTTTTTTATTTGCAAATGGCTTCTTTTGTCCTGATTTTTTTTAAAAAAACCATATTAAAATTAGAACTTAAGTTTTTTTATCTAGAATTTCATTTTCAACCCATTTTTTACAAATAACACCTATAAAATATTGTCGGAGCAGTAATAAACCTATATATCATCTCAACATGCATAAAATAACTCAAATAAACTCGAGTCCAAAAATCAACATGAGTTTAGATATGTTTTTTTTATGAGCTTTAAAGATAAAAAAAATACTTAATATAAACTTCCTTGTTCAAATTGAACTATTTGACACAAATATGATCTATTTTAGTAGCCTAAATCGATGTCAACGATACTTTTTTTTTTTTATTGTTATAGTCTAATGACCTCTCTCTCTTATCTTTTAGTTAGAGACTAAAAAATAATAAAAATTAAATTTTATATTAAAATTAAATTTAAAAAATATTGAGATACTATAATTATATATTTTTGGGTGATTTTTAAAGTTTAAAAACTAAAATGCATTTTTTTATGAAACTTATAACACATCATTCATATTTAATGCATTTTTTATATTTGCTATTGTTATTTTAATCTCATATTTTCATAAAAAATTAAAATTAATTAATTATCAATTAAAACTATATTACCAAAAAACCATTAATTACTAAATTAAAAAAATATAAAATTTTGCTTGAAAAGTAGAGCATAGTGAAAATCCGCGCAAATAATATCATTTGGTATTGTGATTGTACGTGAGGTTCACTCGCACCCACAAATATTGTTATTTGATAATACTTCAAAATCAATTTTTTACTAATGAGGCCTCCATCAATTGTGGATGCGCCACAAGTTTTCAAGAAGCGGCTTCTTGTTATTTTTTTGCTGAGAAAACCCATGAACAGTGGAGTACTGCTCCAATGTTCATGGGTTTTCTTCAATGAACAATGGAGTTAGAGCAGGACTCCACTGTTCTGGTTGAAGTGGTCTAGTTCAAAGTTAAAAATACATTAAACTAGATTCGATCCAATAAAATCAAAATATATATTTTTATTTTTAATTGTATTTTATTCAAAAAACTAATATTAAATATTATTTAATGACATTACATAAATCAAACGAAGATCGCTTGATGACATAATATTTATAGAATTTTATTCTAATTCCAATTTTATTCTTGATTATATTTTACTTGATAATGTTATGCTCTTAAGAAATTTATGAAAATTATAATCCTTGTCGCATGGAAGTATTTACGTGATGAAATTGTATATAGTTTAATAAAATAATAAAATAATATTTTATGTAAAGTATTATTTATTTTATAATGTAATAGCGGTAGTTAAATATATAATATTTCAATTAAAAATCATCAATATTAATATATATTTTTTTAGTTATTTTTTAACTAAACATATTAAATTAATTTTTATATAAACTTAATTTCAATTTTAATTTTAATTTTAATTAAATATATATTTTTCCAAACAAGCCGAATTAAAAATATTTAACAAATACATTCCCTCCGCAGCTAAAAATAATTAATTAATACATTGCTAAACACAGCTTTAGTACGGCTACTTTTTGCTGCC